AAACAGACAGAAATTAGCCAGGTGTGGTGGTGTGCACCTGTAGTCCCAGGTACTCGGGAGGCTGAGGCAGGAGGATCACCGGAGCCCAGGAGTTTGAGGCTACAATGATGCCATGGCACTCTACCGAGACTCCATCTCCCCCCCAAAAAACTTGGATATAAACATCATTAACTCTTGGCTAACAAACTCACGTCAGGTGCTGTGACACCAACTTCAAGCTTAGAAATGACCTCTCAAGAACTCTACGCATTAAAACAAAGCACACGCAAGCGTGGGGAGAGAAACCTAAGCCGTCAACACTCACACGGTCACCTCAGCAGTGTGCCCAACCTCTCCACGCTTCCGACGGATCCTTCTACAAACTCAGGGAGTCCGCAGGTAGGAGACGCATCCTAGGTGCCTTCTTACCTAAAGGCAGGCCCACATGCAAGCTGTGAACTCTCCGTGTGAGGAGCGAGGGGCCAACCCGGAGACTTCCGTGTGGCCGTCACGAACAACACGTGTACACACGCAGCGGGCGCTGATGCCTATTGTCCGGGGACCTACCACGTGCAGGTACTGAGGCAGGAGCGTAGGTTGCACCTGGGAACAGAAGCCAGCTCCGCCCTCCCACAAAACTCTCACCTGAGTGGGGACAGCCCAAAGGGAGGGCGTGGGCTTCTAAACCGACAACCCGCTTCACCTACACCTGGAAAATAGGTGTGAGCACCAGGGTTTATGCTAAGCTTCACTGCTCGTTGGATGGGGAACAGTTTTTTAAGCGACTAAATTGTCATCATTCCCTGTTACCATAATTCACGCTGACTCCCCGGCATTCGGTTTTGGTGACAAATCTAGGTATATTTTATGTCACTGGAGATGCCCCAATTATGGTTCAAGGAAGATGCATTTCTGAGGCAGATGCCTTGCGGGGGGGGGGGGGAGCAGGCACGGTTTGCTCTCTTTGACGCCCGCCAGATTGATGAAGAAGTGGGCGCTGTTTGCTTTCGATGAAAAGAGACACCTGCACTCGAATGTTTACAGCAGCGCAGTTCACCATCGCAAAGGTGTGGAAACAACCCAGGTGCCCATCAGTGCATGAGTGGATTAATACAATGTGGTCTCTGTACACCATGGAGTTCTACTCAGCCACAAAAAAAACAACGGTGATCTAGCACCTCTTGTGTTATCCTGGATGGAGCTGGAGCTCATCCTACTAAGAAAAGTATCTCAAGAATGGAAACACAAGCACCACACGGACTCGCCAGCAAATTGGTATCAATGGATCAGCACCTAAGTGGACACATAGGAGTAACATTTATCGGGTGTCAGGCGGGTGGGAGGGGGGGCAAGGGCAATATACGTATCCTTAGCATTTGTACCCCCATAATATGCTGAAATAAAAATAAATAAATAAAGATAAATTTTAAAAAAAAGAAACCCCAGGTCATAACTGGGTGGAACCAGGTCACCCGAATGCGATTCTTTCCAGGGAAGTGGGTGTGACCTACTGGCGGTAGGGCGCGGTTAGGGAAAGTCCCCGTGAGTCAGAGACACTCTTCGTGATGAAAATTGTGCAATGTCGAGGCCAAAGAAGGTCGGGTTTCGCCTTTCCAAGAGCAAGACAGAGAAAAGCATTTCCCGTCCGATCACTCTTAGGGCTCAGGGTTAGCGGACGCCGTCGGGACTTGTTTGAGTCCGTCGGGAAGCTGGCAAAACCAGAACGTGCCTTCCTTCGATACTTTCGGGAGTATTCAAGTCATTATGTGCTCTCGAATCGAATGGATTTGAACACGGTTGTGCCTTTTTTTTTTTGTTTGTTTGCTTTCGTCGTACTTCACTGGGGTTTTTTGTTTGTTTGTTTATATTGTTGGGGTTTGGGTGGAGGAACACGACTATTTGTTCTAAATAAGGTGCTTTCATCAGCAGGTGGTTACCCGAGAGCCTCAGACGTGTGCTCTTGTGGGCAAGCACGCTCCCACCCTCCTGCCGAAAATGGGACCGCAGTGGAGCGTGACTTCAAAGATGAAGAGGACGCGGAGTATTAACCCAAGAACACAGGAAAAAAAAAAAGAAGAAGGATGAAGCAGAGATGAGGTTCAAGGGGAAAGTAGGCTGCAGAGGAATCAGGCATCTAGAAACCCCTGGGTTCTTGGCGGTCGTTGGCAAGCTGGGCTCACGGGCTTAGGACGTGCGCTCACCTGCTTGGGAACAAATCCGCACGCTGCAACTGCCCAACGCGTGGTCATGCTAAGGTGGGCACGCCTGAGCCTCTGCTAAGCGATTTGTGCATGCATGACAATTTTAAACTTTTTAAACAGCCACAGAGGCTCACACGCCTGTAATCCCAGGACGTTGGGAGGCCGAGGCGGGAGGATCGCTTGAGCTCAGGAGCTCGAGAGCAGCCTGAGCAAGAGTGAGACCCCCGTCTCTACTGAAAAATAGAAAAATTAGCCGGGCGTGGTGGCGCATGCCTGTAGTCCTCGCTACTCGGGAGGCTGAGGCAGGAAGATCGCTGGAGCCCAGGAGTTGGAGGCTGCAGTGAGCGAGGCTGAGATCACAGGGACAAGGAAACAACTCCCCAGCCTGCAGGAACTTCTGGTATTGCGCACCTACAAGCCGGTTCCCAGAATCAAACTGTCGGCACGCCCGGTGTCCGGCAGACGGTGACAACTGTGTGCTTTGCAGCAGGGAGGAGACCCGAGCTGAGACGCTGCCTGGGCACGAGTCTCGCTGTCTTCACTCCCCTTTCACGGCTTGTTAGAAAGAACCAAAGCCCGCCCAGACACGGGAGCGCCCCGTGCGTGCCGTATTCTCATCATCTCCAGCCCAAACGGCCCAGGCGATGGCATCGGCTTTCTATTTTTTTTTTTGGAGTATATCACGGCACACCCAAGCATGGCTCGGGAAGGCACGCAACGTCACGCAAGTGGCAGGCCGGAAACAGCACGTGCACGGCCAACAGGTGTGCGGGAAGGAGCTCCACGGCACTGGTCACCAGGGAAAAGCAAATCGAAACCAAAACGCGGCGTCACCTGGCACCTGTGGGCACGGCCGCCGTCAGGAAGACGGGCGACGGTGAGAGTTGGGGAGGGGGGTGTGCAGAAAAGGACACCCCCGCACGCTTTTGGCGAAGACCGTACACGGACTCGGGTGTTGGGGACAGCCGTCTGAGGGTTCCTGGAACAACGAGCATCCGCACTGGCCCGTGGTCCGGCAATCCCACTGCTGGGCGCACACACGAGGGAATCGAAATCTCCGCGTCGGAGAGATAACCCGCACGCCTGTGCTCGCGGCACGCAGCACCGCTCCGGACAGCCGGGGCGCGGAACCGGGCCCGGTGCGTGCCCGCCAAACGGACGAGCGGGTGAAGAAAAGGGGGTCTGCACCCACAGCTGAAAAGTGGCCAGCTTGTCGTAAGAGGAGACTCCGGCAGCTGTAAGAACACGGCGCACCTGCGGGAGCGTGTTCGAAGTAAGACAGCCAGGCGGAGACGCGCAGCCAGGGCGTGACCGCAGCACGCGTGTGAGAGCGGGAAGCACGGATGTAGCACGGATGTCACGGAAGCAGGGAGGGGACGTGGTCGCCGGGCCGGGAGGGTGGGAGCGAGGCAGGAAGGCGGGAAGGTGCAGCCTGCAGTTCTCAGGGACCCATGGAGTCCAGAGACGGGACCCGCGGCCCGAGGAGCATGGCTGGCAACGCCGCACGCCGGGAGTCTGCCGGGGAGGGCGTTTGCGGTGTTCATACAACACACACACGCACACGCGTGTGCACACACACGTGTAAGGGAGCCACGGAAGGCCACGGGGTGTGTTACGTGGCTTGACCATGGTCATCATCTCACTGTGTGTGCCCACAGCAAAGCATCACCTACGCCTTCAACGTACGCAATGCAAAATTAAACAGATAAAAAATAAATAAAAATTTTTTAAAAATAAAAAACAGTAAAAGTAAAGACTAAAAATTAAATTTAGAAATTAAATAAAAATAAAAATTAATTAAATTGAAATTAATTAAAATTATTAAAATAAAAAGCCAAAACTTAGATAAAAATAAAATAATAATAATTAAAAATAAAAATAAAAGTCTTTAAAAAATAGTAGTAAAAACATATATAAATAAATAAAAATTTATATTAAAACTTTAAAAATTAATAAAAAATAAAAATAACAATAAATTTTAAAATAATAAAAATATAAAAATTTTAAAACGAAAATTAAAATAGTATAAAATAAAATTATTTCAAATAATTAAAAAATAACATAATAATTACATGTAATTAAATATAAATATAACATATATTTATATTATAAACAATAAAAATTATTTTGTTACCATACATTTTATATATTTACACATGACCTGTAACTATATATATATAACATAAGATATATATAAAGCATATATGAACAATTAAAATAATTAACAATATAAAAACCTTAAAAAACACATAGAAAATACTGTTTGAAGCGGAAATCGGCAAGTAAATTTTCCACGCGCATTTGGGGCCAGGTAGGCGCCGGAGGACGCACACGCCTTGCACCGTGCGGACACGCATGGAGAGCCCGGCAGAGGCTGGCTGAGAGTGTGAAGGCCGCTCACGCCCCTGTCTGACCCGTCTCCGGCCCCGCCCCCACCGCGGGGCGGCACCTGCCGGCAGGAGCCCCGAGCTCGGCGGCGAGGAGCAAACGCGGGTCCCGGGCTGTGGGCAAGCGGCCCAGATGGGACAGAGCGCGGCCCATGAGCTCGCCTTCCCGGCAGCCGGCAGAGCCGGGCGGTGCGGACCTTGCATGCTGCCACATCCTGCTGCACCCTGCTCTCCAACAGGACCACAACCCCCCACGAGCAAGGCACAAAAGTAGAGCCGTTCTCTCTCCAAATGCCACGTGGCACATGGCGGCTGCCACCGTCCTGCATCCTCGCCCCTCATCCCACACCCGGAGTCCGGAGCTCAGCCCTGAGCAGCCCGGCCACCCACCCCGAGAGAAACAGCCGCTGGGCCATCGTCCGCCAGACGGTACCTCTGTCATTCAAGGTCTCTTCTTTGATTTTGCTCACGACCTCTTCGGCTTTGCCTTCATTATTTCCAGCTGAAACGAAACAAACAAACAACATATGTAAGCTACCGTCATCTAGAAACCGCTAACCACGAAAAACAAAAAAAGGCTTTTGCCCGAAGGAGAACACAAGCCCTGACAGGTGCTCCGGGTGGATTTCCCCTGTTCCGGCGTTCAGTTTGACAGTCAGAGCCACTGGGGCTCACTCGGCCTGTCAACTTAACATCCGCTTTCTTTAGCCCGAATTGGCAAAAAGCAGAAATGCTTCTGGACATTTGGCTTTTGAATAACGACAGAGGCGCGAGGAGCCTGGCGGCATAATTTGCACGAGAAACAAGGATAGCATGAGGATAAAAATGTGCACGAAAATGTCAGGATGCTAATAGAACTTTCTGGGGATCTCTTGGTCAAGGTGCACCCCTGTGTTAACTAACAATGGCAGGCCACTCCCACCACGTGTCCGGGGTTTCTTATATCCACCATCCATGAATCCATAAACACGTCCACGTGCGGTTCCAGCAACGTTCATTTGGAAAGACGGGAACAGGTGTTTTATGTCCAACGGATACTAACGGGTTAAATTAAAGACCAGGAGGAGCCCGGGCGTGGTGGCTCACGCCCGTAACCCCAGCACTCTGGGAGGCCGAGGCGGGAGGATCGCTTGAGCTCAAGAGTTCGAGTCCAGCCTGAGCAAAGGCGAGACCCCGTCTCTACCAAACTAAAAAACGAAAAGGAAAAAAAAAAAAAAAAAAAAATTAGCCAGGCAACTAGAAAGGAGACCTCGTTTTGCGTGGTGATTGCATAATTTTTTTCATCGTGGAAACTCTTTCAGTGAAGTGTCAAACTTTTAAGTGTCCTCTCCCTGCCCAAAGGGGGAAAAAATAAATAAATGAATAAAAGGAAAACCAAGCGAATAAATAAGCATTGCGGGCAACGCTCACGTGAATTAGCTTCATGGGGCCATTTCCAAATACGTACATAGAGCTTTCATTTCGTAGTACACTGTTAAAATATACAAGTTTTACGTCCGCAATTAAAACAAGTAAGCAAATAAATTTTTTAAAGTTTTATACATGCCACACATGGTACTGTTGGGCAGTACAAAGTCTAAGTGGAGCCAAGGTACTTTTAAGGGGCAGTTAGTTACCATTTTGATGACCATATAAACACAAGTCCCATTCCTATGGACTGAGTCATAAAACAGGGATTTTTTAAAAATCTGAAAGAAGCAATGAAATTTCCACTTATTAAAAAAAAAAAAAAAATTTTTTTTTTTTTTAGCCCAAACCAGGGTCACCAAACTCTGGCCAAATGTGGCTGTCAGCCTGTTGTACAAAAAAAAAAAAGTTGTACTAGGACGTCAATCTACTCATTTTTTGAAATATTATCTGTGGCTGATTTCCTACTACAATGGCAGAGTTGATAGTTGTGAGAGAAAACTATGAAAACTTTTATTAAACAGCTTACCGATCTCTGGTCTAAACCTTAGAGGACAGATCATTAAGCATTATGATGAAATAATGATTCCCACCCCCACCACCAAAATAATATTTTGAAACAACCAGAGCTGAAATACGGTGAACAGATGGGCAACTGAATACTGGATGTATTTCCAGCTACATTCACGTGCCCGAGCCCGGGCCAGGTGATGATCTGGGTTCGCTTTCAAGTAATCGATTGTTCTTTAAATATTAACAGCTTGGAGAATTAAAAGTTGGAGGCGGAATACAGCCGTCTCTTACGATGCATTTGACATAAGATTCCTTAAGTGTCCAACAATAACTTTTTTCATTAAGTGACTCTGAATCAAACTGTCATGCAAAAATAAAAAATTGCCTCTCTGGGGATATAGCCAATTATCCTCAAAGCCACACGGAGGAGTTCAGACTCCGTAACTGATTGGGTTGGCGTGAGAGGTCAAAACTGAAATGCATGGTGAAAATTAAACACAGATGCAGAATCTCCACGGGGAAGCAGACACAGGGAGGGTGAGGAAACAGAGTGTACTCCCTGTTTATGCCAAGAAGGAAGGACACACTTGGTGCTGGCCGGTACTACTCCTGGTACTCAGCGAACATCACCTAAGTGAGGTGGTAGCACCCCACCCGGGGCTCCAGCCCTCCCTGCACCGGTACCAGGAGGTCACCTACCTGTGTCCATGGCAGGGTGCCTAAAGGACGAACTCGCTGAACCAGACCTCATCCTGACCTAACCACACCCCACACGACTGTGATCTGATCCAACCAGATCTCATTATGCTAGTGCAGAAAGAGACTTCAACACAACCTAAGCAAACCACACCTCGTAGTGCTCTAAACCGACCAGTGTTTCTGAACCCAACAAGATGACATGACTTTGTCATGTCCTACCCAACTTCCTCTTCAGGAAGTAACCAACCTAGACCTTATTGTGAACTGATACAGCTACACATCACATGGCCTACCCAACTAGATCTCATCAAAACCTAACCCAACTAGAACTCATGTGACCTACCAACTAGACCTCATATGACCTAATTCAACTAGATCTCATCATGCCCTAATACAACTAGACCTCACATGACCTACCCAACTAGACCTCAGAGAAGTTGTGAGGCTAGTTGTATTAGGGCATGATGAGATCTAGTTGAATATCATATGAGGTCAGTTTGGGGGTCATTGATTAGTTGTATTAGGGCATGATGAGTTAGCTGATTACATTGAGGTCTAGGTGGAGGATAAGAGTCAGTTGCATTTAAACAACAAATGGGATTGTTGAATTGTTCATCATGAGGTCTATTGGGGTATATTGAGGTTAGTTGTATAGCCATGTGCAGATCTAGTTGAATTAGCGTCAGTATGAGGTCTAGTTGGTAGGCTCCATATGAGATCTAGTTGCTATTAAGGGCATGATGGGATCTAGTGAATTAGGTCCATATGAGGCCTGAGTTGGGTAGGTCATGTGAGGTCTAGTTTATTAAGGGCATGATGGATTAGTTGAATTAGGTCATCATA